GAATGAAAGTTTGGGTACTGATTTTGTAAATGTTAAAAAACAGGTACTGGTTCTGAAATGAGCTTTAGTTTGGGTATCAAAATTTCATTTTAACCTAAAAAATACAAAAGTCATAATTTTTGAAATATATATACAATTCAATAGTTATAATAAGAAATGATATTAAAATGCAATTAATACATGTAACATGACCATAAATAACCAACATATTTATGGTAATATTAACCTAATTATTTTTAGGTTGGAATTAAATTAAAATTTATCCAAGCCTAATAACGAAGCATGTAATTTTGCCACATAGGATTCCGAAGCACCAGAAGCCTCTAAATTACTATATAGGGGAAGGGGATTACATTAACATTTACGTCTATGAAATGTTGCCGGAATAAAATTGTTTCTAGGAAGTTGCATCTTGCATGTAAAAGTTAAAGTGAAACGCTCTCCAAAAATGGACTATTGGAACGAAGAGATCCGCATTAATATCAATGTAATTAGAGTTTAATTTTCTCTTACTAGTTTTTCATTTCGTTCCATAACAAAACAAGTAGTGGTTGTGTTGTAGACTACAAAAAATTCTTTATTGGCATCACAACAAAGGGAAAAAAGTCCACCCCATTTGAAATGGAAAATTTAGAAAAGTAAAAGGACAAACAGCAAATGACATAATAAGCGACACACACCAAAAAAAAAAAAAAAAATTAAAAAAAATGAAGTGCTAAGGAAACCCATATGTAATATTCTTTTTTTTTTAATGACAAAATTTATTAATAAAGCACATATTTACAAGTGGCTAACTAGTCTACTGAAGCAGTACACAAGCAACTAACTAGCCTACTGAAACAATCAACAGCCTAGAAACTATTACACTAAACGCACCCACAAGACTAAAAAAACTAGAATACTAAACTCCTACTAGTGGAGAATACTAACTCCCAAATGAGAGTATAAAACACCAACACCAGCACAAACACAAACAAACAAAATCAAAACACACTACCCACAGGCGACAAGCCACTCCAAACTAAACCACGACACCATCACTCGAGGGAGGCCACCCCCCAAGACAAGGACACGATGGCTAGTCGCAGATCCAAAAATTGCAGTACAACTACGCCTAATTAGATCCAAAACCCACAAACTTTACCCCTCACCCAAGTGGACTTAGCTTTCCAGGTGGCTCAAGCGATCTCTCCCTGTCTAGAAACCTGTGAGCCTCTATGTTGTACCTAAAAAATATCTGTCACGAAAAAAATATATGACCCGCATACAAATCTCAGCCCAAAAGGATTGATAAAGACCAAAACGCAGATATCATCAGGCGGACGGGCCGGCCAAGCGAGCACTGTTAGCAATGTTGATCGTCCTATTCGGCATATCGATCACCCGCGGAAGCTTCCCGGAGAAGAATGGTGATTGCCCTGAGCATCAGGACACGTCTTGATAAAGCTGATAACACCGCCTGAGATCCCATCAACTTTTGCGTTAAAACACACAGTGGCACCCTACGCTTCTAGTTGACATTCCACATTTAATGCATCTACAACTTTTTCGTGCAGAAATACGGTCATCTAGCCCGAAAAAAGGTAACCCAACCTAAGCTAACCCAAGTCAATTTACGTTGAACTAAAGAAAGCCAACCCAGGTCTATCTTAGCTAAACAAAGACAAACCCTTAAAAGATCATTATGATCATCAATATTCCATGCTATTCAATTCCATGCTGTTGTATATCTGATCTCCTGAAGATCACTCACAAGAAAACATTCGACTGTAATCATTATATAAAATACCTAGTAAATTTTCAGAGAAAACATCTCCTTGGCGATCACCACAGTCGATAGGCAAAATCGGTCTTTTTTTTTTACGCATATTTATTTCATATCGATCTCGTTATATTCCATCTCACTAAAATATACCATGATCATTTCGTTACACCCAATTTAACCAACTTAAAATCTTCTTTCATAACTGTTGACGACCCAACATCATACATATTTGATTAAATTATTTTTTTTATATATAATTCATCTTAAACTTATCTTTTAAATTTGAATAAGGGAATAAATACAATTGATGAAAATTATACGTGACACATAAAAAATAATATATATATATGATATGAAATATCATTTTATATAAATAGTTTACATTTGATATAGGATATTATATGTACCAGACCGGTCCGACGAGTCAGTAGAACAAACCGGGTTGGTCAGGTTGATCGAAGGGAATACCCGTCGAAATATAGAAGGCCCCGAGGTCAAAGATAGGTGGATACATCAGGGCAAGATAAATCCCGGTACATAGAGGATTTGGTCGAAGGACTAAATGGTCGAGTATACCGGAGGGTGATCCCCTAAGTATGATCGGACCCAGCACTGATAGGATGACTCAACAGCCCGCCTGGATGTGGTCAAACCCTAGAGCGCTCACAGCGAATCTCCAGCACATGGGCGGAGGACACGCGACATACAACGAGTGGTCCAAGGAGATAACGACCTCTGACATTCCCTGACACATTCTGACGCGTTTTTGACACCAAGATAGTGGAGGCAGGCG